TACTAATAAAAAAACAATTATAAATTATTGCAATTTATGTGAATTATTTTATAACATTGCACTAGTTTTAAAAGATATCTTAATGATGGCCATTAGCATGCCCAAATGGCAAAAAATAATGCCCTCAAGTTATGATGGTTGTTATCAACTCCTTGCCTTTTTAGCCAGCAACTTCATGCTTCTAATAATCACAAACATGATCTGCTTGTATTTTATCTTTCAGTAATTTAGATTTTTAAATGTTTTCTTTACTCTCTTTGGTTTATTAATTTAGCCATATAAATGATCATCGCGTTTTATTATTAACAAATAATTTTGATTTTTGAAATTAGTTTAATTAAACCAAGTCCCCATACATTAATGCATGGGATAAACATTGTGATTTACTAGAAAACCACAAATTCAAACATACGTGTGTGATTGTCAACTGTCACTCTTGGTGGGTAATCTGTAAACTTATATGTAAAATCCAATTGAGTCTTAGGTATACACTGACCTTGGATTGAGAGAGCGACCCTTAACCTAAACTTTTTGTAACCAAAAAAATATTTGTGTGTGTGATTAGGGTATTGATTGGTGGGACTTAATAGCTCATAGGGTGGGTGTGCTATTGTACACATATAGCACATTCATAGCGGCGCATGAAAAATTATATGCAAAGAGGAACAAGATAAGACACAAATGGAAACCCATTAAAAAGCACAGTCATAAAGCAATCAATTGAAGCCAAGAAAAGGAAAAGGCACTCAAGGGGAACAAGAGAAGCACATGTTAGATAAACAAGCATTTGGTGCCCATATTTAAAGCAAATTCTTGTGATTATTGTATATATGTGCACCAAATTTTATATGGTGGAGGTTTCTTGTTTTTATGGGAGGTCGGTGACAAATTGAGAAACGTTATCTCTTTTTTTATATATATATAAAAGTAAAGAAATAGAATCGCACACGTTGAAAATATTTGCATTAGCTTAAATCTTGATTCCATGATCATGGTGAGGATGATGATTCTTGCTTAGCCGATATTTAACATCTTTAGGGGAATCTTTCATGGTAGCACTTGGCTTTCATAATGGGAAAGGTTACCCACAATTTATCCCCACGATCATGAGGAACCCTAATCACTTTAGAGTAGTTGCAGATTCAAAAATTTAAAAATAGGGTCCAAATTTTGAATATTCATTTCTTAAAAATAAAGGTATGTATTTTTTTTTCGTAACATATTAAACTAAATTTCACATTTCCCCCTAAATAATAATGAGGATGCACTTGATTTTTAGGGACTTAGTGCATCCGCTCTTGCTTTTGAGATATGCCAAGTTTCCTTAACATGGAGTATTTATCACTTCAGATATATATTAAGTTTTTATTATTTATATTAGTCTTTTATTTTCTATGAGTCGAACGATAAATTATAATCGGTGATCTGAAAAAAAAAGAAAATATATTTGAGAACACGATAAATATTAAGTGTGAAGTTTATGATTCTCCCCTTCAGCCTTGTTTATGTGATTATATATATCACTAACACCAAACAAAAAGGTGGCCGATGTGAGTTCTAAGATTGATGTTTGTTTATGCATTAGCATGTGGGTAGAGTTGATCGTGAAATAATAAATTAAATTTAGTTGGTGATATAATTGACAACACTCATGTCAAATAGAGATCTGAAGAGTGCTCGTGTGCATAGGAGTGATTATAAATGCACGGAAAACAATGATAATAAAAATATAATTTACGAAAAAAAAATTTAACAATACCCTTTTATAATTAAATACAATCTCAAAATATGACATCATTAAAATAACCAAAATATATATATATATATAAATATATTAAGGAGTAGTAATGTAAACTAAAAATGTTCATGAATTAAATTAAATAAAAACTACTAAATTTAAGAACTAAAATTTGATTTGTCCCTGAAAAATTAATGGTTAAGCTGCGTATTCCCTTGATGGTCCCAATTTCAATCACATAAACAAATCATGGCCAACGTTTATCCGCTGTAGAGATTATTCCTACAAACAGATTACCGTGATTAGATTAGACCTCTACGTTTAGTGCGCCTTATCTGAGTTTTTTTTTTGGTAAAGTACACGTTTAATACATAAAATATTAATTTTGGTCCATTTTAATATATACATTTTCATTTTTTCAAAACATAATAGTTTTTGTTTCATTTTAGTACCCACTGTTTTAACGAACGGACTGATATGGTATAGTTCTAGTGAACATACGACCAATCCGAAAGGTGAACCACGAGAGAATGACGAGTCAACCAACATAGTTCAGTTTCAGGCCCATCGGACGATAAACTATGGAGATAGGAGGATAAATAAATCAAGAGTCTATCGTCGATTTGGGGAGATTGAGGTGTTTTCAATGAAACAGAGGCTAAAATTGCATTCAGGGGTTCGAAAATGTGGATGCTAACAAGTTTAGATTTTATCAATCGAACGGTACGACAATCGACGACTATAAACACGATGATTGACGAGTTCGTCTATTAAGTTTTTAACAGCCGGATAAGGTTAAGTATAATTTTGAGAAAAAAAGTAGAAGTTTAAATACTAAAATGGTCAAAATTGATAGTTTAAGTACTAAACTCATAGTTTACCATTTTTTGTCATTGGTGTCGAATCTATACCTCGATTCTCTAATAGGTGCCTAAACTAATTTTTGACCTATCCAAGTGCCTTACGTTACAAACATTGCCAATTTAGGTGTCTGGATCGTCAACGACATTTATTTTAATCGTTAAGTGAAACGTGTCATGTTATGATGGTTTTGAAATATATATATATATATATATATTTAAAAATATTATTATATTAATAAAAAATCTTAATTTCTCTTAAATCATAAAAATCTCCAAAATACCTAAAATCCCCAAATTCTATCCTTAACCTCCTATCACCGCCCTTTTCGACCACGGCTGCCGCCGCTGCCGTAGTCTCTGCTATCCTCTTAGTCATACGTCATCATAGTTGTCGTCGATTGGTTGTTGAGATTGTGTGGGAACACGATTTTCATCCTAGGGTTTTCGAGGTATAAAACGTCAAATTATCGTCGATCGATCACGATTTCATGGAGGTTTTATTCACCGGGTGGGAGATAAAGTCGGATGGAGCTTCGTCAATGGCAAAGGGAGACAACTTATGTGGGTTTAGGGGTTGAAATGAAGGTTTTCAAAGTTTTGAGTTTATTCCAAATGTTTATGTTTTTCTTTTAAAAATATATAATTTTATTTTTTAATTTTTTAATAAAGTATTTAAAAGCATGACGCGTGCCACTTAACAAGAAAATTAATGTCGTTGATGACCCAAATACTTAAATGAATAATATTTATAAAATTAAATACCTAAATGAATAAAAAACAATTTAAACACATGTTCAGAAAAATTAATATAATATAAACACTTATTTTGGTAATCCTCTCTATTTTCCAAGTAAAAAATAAAAATATACGATGAGCACCACTGCCCAAAAAAGCTTAACTCGTTTTTGACACGACGTTTACTTCACGAGATGTTTCCCTTTTCCATCATCACAGTCGGTGTTGGTATCAACGGATGAGGCTGATGTTTTATCCTTGGCCCACATGACCTTTGATGCCGTGCTCCAATCACCAAGTATGATTTGCCTACGGTCCTGATGTGTTTCTGTGGATGTCGGGAACTGGGAATACGTTTGGATTGCTGTAACACCTGCTGTACTCGATTGAACTAAAATAAACATAAAATTAAAAGGGTAAGACTCCAGGCTCCACCATCCACGCGCCTTCAAATGCGTTATTTAATATTATAATTATTATATGCAACATAAATTCTTAGAAAAAATAAAAACAAACTACATAAATAATTATTAGTGTTTGAATAAATTTTTTTATTAATATTTTAAAAAATAATAATTTATTTATAACTTAATATAAAAATAAGTGTTTAAATTTTGTATAAAAAATATTTTAGTTTATAAAGAATTTTTGCTAAAAATAAGTATTTAACGTTTTCTCTATTATAATTTTAGGTGTCCAGATGTCATCCACCGTTAAATTAGATCGTTAAGTGACACATGTCACATTCTATTAATTTTGGAAATTTATTTAAAATAAAAAAATATTATTTTATTTTAAAAAATAAAATTTCCAAATCTTAAAAAGAACCCCAAACTTTTAAAACTTTTATTTTAATCAATTTGTCATCGTCGGTCACCACCAACGCCGTCAATCGATAGAACACCCAACGGCGTGTGATTGACCAACCATCAACGACCAAAAGCCTCATACATTTGCAACTGATCGAACTCTCAAAAATAGTGTAATTGAAAATTTTTGTTTTAGGGTTTTAAAGCCATAAAAATCCCTTAGATCGATCGTAGTAATAGACCGTTTGATCGGATATTTTTATCAAAAAATTCTTTAGACACTAAAACTTTTTTCGAGTTAAAATTCAGACACTTATTTTTGTATTAAACTTTTATTTATTTACATTATCAATTTATAATAAATAATTTATTTGTTGTTGATGTTTTTGATGTAATATATTATGTCAACTGATCTGACATAATTTGAACATAACAAAACAACCATTTTAATCTATCATTGACTCTTAGAAAATATATTGCCATAGAGAGTTTAGTGAATTTTAAAGGTATTTGAATATATATTTTTTTATATTAATGAAGGTTGGTTTAAGTGGTAAGTAAATTGATATTAGTTAAGTAAAGTTTTAGATTTAAATATTTGTATACAAATCCTCGTTAAGAGATTTATAGATCAAAATTAGGGGTACGACTCAAATCGATCTAAATTAATCGGTACAAAACCTCATAACGGATAACCAAAAAAATATTTTTTTTAATTAATATTTATTTGTATTCTTTAATTATTATTGCATATAAAATAGTGAAACATTATTCTCCCGCATCTAAAGAATCACTTGCCTATATATCCAGCTCTACAAGACAAGGGCAAGAGCAACCCACTTAAAGGCACAACACTCTCTATAACCTTCATTAAAAAAAGCCTCTTTGTTCTTTTGGAGCTTACCTTCCGCCTTGGTGGAGTCTTTCCTATTTCAAAGCTGTGATTTTTCCAAATATACATATATATATTACAAGAATTTATTGGTTGAGAACAGGCTCTCTAAAGTCCACAGTTCTTACTTTGTTAGCTAGCTTCTTCACCTCTTCCTCTCAGGGTTTTTTTAATCTAAAGTTTCGTTTGGTTTCGTGATGTGGGTCTTCGTTGTCTTTAGCTCTGGTTGAGTAACTCCTTTAAGGTATGTACATTAACTTCCCATCTTCGTTTCATCCATTTGCATGGCTTTAACTTGTAGCTTTATATATATATATTTCAGTTTGTTGCTGCTTCTTGTTCTTCAAATTTATCGAGGAAAGGTGATCTATTTGGATAAGTCAATGGAGAGTGGCTTCCCAAAGAATGTTGAATCGTCGTGTCCTCAACTTCTTGATCTGATTCCTCAAGAGAGAGAGTGGCATCATGTGAAGAAGACAGAAGATGGATCTTCACCGGAGAAGAAGCTGGAACTGAGGCTTGGTCTTGGTCCCCCAGGTGAAGAGAACTGGTCCGATGACTCTTTACTCTCACTCGGCTACTTCCCTTCTTCAATGAAGAGCAATGGAAAACAAACACACAAGTTTCCATGTCCGGAGGATCACCCTGTTGGGTCAGTTTTGTCCACTCCATGGACCAAAAACCACCACCAACATCAGCAGACAAAGACTTCTTCATTTCACCAGTTCTCATCTGCAACTGCCCCACAACATAGCTCGCCTGTTATGGCAAAGGAATCTTCACATCCCTGCTGCCATAACACAGCGGTAGACTTGCAGGATGCCGAGAGAAAAGCATTTAAAACTCCTGCAAATACAGCTGTGCCTCTCAATACTTCTCAGAAAAGGTGCTTCAGTACATTTCTCTATCTCTGTCTCTCTGCATATCTTTAAAAAAAAGATTTGCCTTTTGATTTTTTTCCACAGAGGATATTCACTACAAGTCACAAGTGTGTTTTTACATTGCTTGATGTTTGTGTGGTCCATCACCCCATGCATGCTATTCTTTTCACTTGTTTTTTGTTTCAGTTATTTTATGTTTCTCAGGTTTAAACCTGAAAATCTAATTTTGAGCTTTCATATGTTAATTATTTTTGGTCTAATTATGATCATGGAAACCAGAACTGCTCCTGGCCCAGTTGTGGGTTGGCCTCCAATTCGTTCCATAAGGAAAAATCTTGCCAGTAACAGTTGTTCAAAACTAGCTTCTGAATCACCAAGTGTGGACCCTACTCACAAGGTGGCTAATGAAAAACCAGCAGCTGAACCTAATGGCAAAACCCTGTTTGTGAAAATCAACATGGATGGTGTTCCTATAGGAAGGAAAGTGGATCTCAAAGCCTATGATAGCTATGAAAAGCTGTCTACTGCTGTGGATGAACTCTTCAGAGGCCTCCTTGCTGGTAAATTTATTTTCACATGGATTAGTTGAATTGGCCATGAAAAAATTGTTTTATTCATTGTTTAATATGGCATCTACATCATCAACTTATCAGGTTTCGTAGTATTGGAAGCTTTTGTAATGTCAATAGTGACATATCAGTTCACATCAGTGTTAGTTTTCAACTGTTTAGGTAATGGAAGTGGGGGAGGGATTTGCATATTTCAAGGGCCATGGCTTTGGACTCGTCTGCTTGTTCTTATTGCAATTAAGCACTTAGGCTATGCTAATGTGATCTTAATAGACAGATATGGTTTTTATCTCATCCGTTTGTCTTTTTCTTCGAACCGTGTAGCTCAAAGAGATTCCTCTGCTGGTGGAATAGTGAACGAGCAAGAGGGAGAGAAAGTGATTACGGGCGTATTGGACGGGAGTGGGGAATATACGCTTGTTTATGAGGATGATGAAGGAGACAGTATGCTTGTTGGGGATGTCCCATGGCAGTAAGAATCTTTCATCACTGTTGATCATGCAATTTGAGGTTATACTATACCATATTATATTCCCAATATCAGTGACTGAGAATACAGTAGTAGAATACCTTTTTTTTTAATCTTGTGTCTTCTAGTTTTTCCCGGAAAAACAGCATTAGATTCCTTATATCCTAACGAAAATCATGCACGCTTTCTTTAATCTTGGCATATTCTTTCTTAATGCATGCATTATCTAGGTACGACAAGAAACCGGTTCTGTTTGAGTTTTTGGTTATTTACTAGTATGTTGTACTATCTGGTTTCTGTATTGGATTTGCAGCATGTTCGTGTCGACGGTGAAGAGGCTGCGCGCATTGAAGAGCTCCGAGCTATCTGCGCTTAGCCGTGAGTGATGGTTAATGGTTAATTATTCGTCTCTCTGTCGTTGTTCATGAAGCCAAACATTGGTGTTTGTTGTTGTTTTACAGTTGGGAGCAGCAAGCAAGGGAAGACGAAGGGTTGAATCATTTGGCCACCATGATAACGAGTTTTCTTCTCTCCAAAGAGACCTTCGAATTATGTATATTTATACTGTTTTGACAAATTTTCTGCCCCTATTTTGCGATGCAACTTATTGTGCCCAGCAGTATATATATAAGTCGTTTTATATGTAAGTTTTGATGTGTTTCCCCCTTGGCTTAAACGTCAATGGGATTTGGTGCTTGATATATGTTATCATGTGTATTTTGTGTTTGGTACTTTATATCTCGGGCTGGTAAAAAACCCACAATTGTTCTTGTTTTGGGCCTTAATTAAATTGAATATGCAACTATTATTAAGAAAAATTAAATTAATTGACTCGATTAAAGGTGAAGATTGAGAGAATGATGGGCTGTAAAGTTGAAACCATTACCTCTTTCTTGTAGGATCCCATTGATGCTTCACAGGAACCGAGAAATAGTGTCCAAATCGAAATTGTCCTGTTGGGTTTGGATTAACGAAGGAGTAGAGGAATCGTCCATCAATATTTGGTGGCATATAATATGTTAATTACTCCTTTTTGTTCAAAGTGACCGGAGACGACAAAAAGAAAAAGTGGAGAAATTTTTTGCCCTTTTTGGTTCAAAGCGAGTGAGAGAAACACCCCACAAGAGGGTAACTGTATTCCCTTTGAGGCCCCATGGAGGCATTTCATTATTGACCGTTGATCTAGCAAAACACTTGTCAAGCAGATATGGTTAGAATCATTTGGAGTCCAAGCTCAACGAATCTTTGAGGAAATTCTGCTTTTGAAACACCCCCCAAACAAAGAGGGTTGAAGGGTCGTTATCGTTGAGAGCTGCCTAACTTTGGGCCCTAATACAACATTCCTTGCCTCTAAAACTGTAAATAAGACGAGATAAATCACGAGTTATTCGAGGTCGACTCGATTAAAACTCGATAAATATTTAATTCGAATGGACTCGACTTGAATTCGAGCTCGAATCGGGTTCTTAACAAGTCGAAACTAACTATTTTATACTCGACTCGAAAAGCTCGTGAGCAGCTCGAAAATATAATATATTAAGATTTTATTTTTAATATTAATATTAATATTTATGTGTTTATTTTTAAAAAAAAAATTACAATACAAGGTTTTCATTTATTTAAGGTTTATGTTTGAGTGTGTGTATTCAATAGAGTTAAGTTTAAGATTTTTTTTTATTTCGAGACTTTTCGAGGTTTTACGAGCTTCAGTTCATGATTTCAAGTTCGAGATAAACTTAAAAATTTTAGACTCGCGAGTTTTCGAGTCGAGCTCATCAATACTCGAGCTCTACTCGCCTTTAATTCCTTTGGAGATGTCGAGAGTTTATCAATTGATTTTTAAACATTATGTTATAAATTAAAATTAAGTAATTAAGGATAAAATATAATTTCATCCCAAAAGTTATTTTTTACGGGTAAAATTAGAAATTTGAGCTTAAAAAACACTTTTTCAATAATAGTTTTAAATCAATTTATGAGTATTTTTTTTTTTGCACATTATGCATGAATCTTGAAGAATTGTGTCATTGGAGACTTCATTTTTTTTGGTACAAGTCATTGGAGACTTCATAGTCACATGTAAGTTGTCTTGAAAGGTGACTAGTTTTCGTGTTACTTTTTATAATGAGACTCTTAAGATATTTTATAATAAACTAAAATTATAAAATATTAAAATTTATCATATTATAATTGTTTCTCACGAAATAAAAAATTAAAACAAATGAAATTAAGATAATTTCACATATTTTATAATCGCGGCATTTTATTTAAAAAATGACATCCTTGAAGCACTCTTAGAAGTAAAATCATGATATTTTTTTTTCTTCAAAATATAAGATCTCTAAATTTTAAGATCATATAACGTATCACATGCCATATTTGTGGATGGATGTACCCAGTGAAAACACATGCAATGTAAATTTCATCTTCATCATAGCCAGCAATCAACCATGGAATGAGCTTATCCAATTGCTAGTTTGTTTTAAACCATCTTAAGCTTGGGTTAGCCATTTTAAGATCTTAAGCACGATACAACGTGATACTACCAAAAGATCACAAAAGAAAGAGAGAGAAACCCCCCCCCATCAAATATCATAAATACATGATAAAAAGAAGCCATCCCATAAATTCTTTTTTTTCTTCTCTTGATAATTTAATAATAAATCAAGATATTAAAATAGGGATAAAAATACAAACATGTTAGAACATGCAAGCTTATAACAGTTATTACCTTTACATTTCTTCTTTTCCCTGCCTGGCTTCACCCTGTGTGCCATTTACATATGTAAGCCGTATAGTGTGAAAAACTATAAGACATATACGGGGCTGTGTTTTTCACCGTATGCTCCGCTGAACCCGGCGTCGGCGGTGGGGATTTGCAGAAAGAAAAGCTTGATGAGTTCCCATTGAAAGGGTGAAAGCTTCCCAGGCTTTGTGTTTTCTCTTGTATTTGCGAGTTTATCCCATTTCCTTTTTATATTTTCTCCTTCTTTATATATAACATGTTACTGTTATATATATATATATATATATATATATATGTAGGTATAGTTTTTCCCAGCTGTTTGTTTCACGGGGAGAAAAACAAGTTACGTAATGGTGGGGTTTTGGGAAGTTAGGTTTTTTCTTATGATTAAATGAAGAAAGTGAAAAAACCTTAACCTACACAGTTCATGTAACTAGTAGTAGTATTTGATAAAATTAAGGTTGAAATCTTAATATTTATAAATGATTTAATGAAAAAACATGTTGGAAATCGAAGCAAAATGATGGTATAAAAGATATTAATTGTTATTTGTTTTTAATTTATCATCTTATCCCATACATGAAGAATTGGTCGACCATTCCGAGTTGTCGATCAATTTATAAATTTGTATTCTTAGTATAAAACCGTTTATGGAGTTAGTGACGTGGTCATTTTTTGCATCAAAATAATTTCTTTTCCTTAAATAATAAATAAAGAAAATTAAATGTAGTAAAAGAAAAGTAAGGGTCGAACCCACAGAAATTAAAGAAACTTCCTGATTTATCCGTGCTTTGTTTTATTTTTGTACCTAGGAGTAGATTGAACAATATTTAAATAAACGAGGGGATTGTAGATGAAGAGAAATAAATAAAACAGAATCAAGAAGATAAAAAGATTTTAAAAGAAGATTAAAAAGAAAGAAAAATTAAAAGAAGTAGATTCAATATGTAGAAATCAACTTTAGGCTTTCTCTTTGATTCAATTTTCTTGGATCATTGAAAAAAGATTTTTACTGAATACCCAAGGCAATCTTTGATTTCGGCTTCGGAAATTGATCTAATCAACATCAATTGTTGTAGATAAATAATCGTTTGAGTTCATGGAAGACCAATTCGGATTGTTGATTCAATAACTACTAATACCGATCTCAATTCCCTCTTAGCAAGGCAATCTTGCTAAGTGTGTTCCCAGGAAGTCAAACGTGCTTTCAATAAGCCGATCCTTCCTCCCACACATTTAATCGGAACAACACCCTGACCAAAGTCAATCTTTGATTTTGAAATTGTTTTGATTTTGAAAATAAGCGCAAAAGAAATTGAGAGAGATTTCCGAAGTTATTTGAGTGTTTTTCAATTTTCACGTTGGAATTGAGTCATTACTTTAGCCCTTGGCTTGAAAGAAAAAAGAAAAAAGTTTTTATAAAACTAAAGAAAGGAAAGAACAAGTTAATTCGAGATGTGATTGAATCATCCATTAGGCTTACTCCAAAGGGTATTTATAGCCTTTTAAAAACCCTAAAAATGTGTTGAAAGATAAAAGATAATTGTTTAAACTTAAATCTTGAAAAGTTAATTCCTAAACTTGAATTGCCCACCTTCTAGAAGCTGCTGACTCACTGCCACATCAGCATTTCATGCCCACTGTTCCAGCCTTGATTCCGGAACAAGAAGTACAATTTTTGGTCATTTTAAGTATATTTTCCAGAAGTCATTACCCTACACAGAAATCATGTAAAAACGCTCAAATCAACAATAATAATGAACAAATAAAGAGTATTTAATCATAAAATGTTTAAACAAAATAAACACTAATAAGTTAGGGAGTAGAAATTAAAGAAGAAAGTTTGGAAGCTCCAATAATACATAGAAGATGTAGTGGTGAGTGGGAATTCAACATGGATATTCATTAGGCACTGGACTCCAGCAAAAGGAGAGGTTCATGGGCAGCCTCCACTCATTTTTTTAAAATTCTACACTTTGGTCAAAATGTAATCAATATGTCAAGCCTCCATCCTCTTGTGTTGTTCTTTTCTACCTTCATTTATATTCTACAAATTATTCCTGATTTTCAGTTTCATAAATAGATTAGTTTTATATGCATGAAATCGACTAAATGGATTAGTTAGTCTAATTTTAATCATATTTTCCATGTATTTCATTTAGTTGATAAATATCTTAAATTTAGCTCAAGTTTCATGGCGGATATTTCCTCAATCTTTTCCTCGAGAGGCAATTCTTCGCTTTGGGTAACAAAACTTAAGAATAAATTAATAATCTCTTTAAATTAAGAATTTTTCTTGGTATCGACTTTAGGCCGAAGGTTTAAATTAGTAATTTCGAAAAAAAAATATTTTTCTTCTTAAAAATTAAATCTAATTGTATTTCATCTCTAAAGTTACAAATGTTTAATGTTATTTATATAGTGATCGGTTTCTTTTCCATATATGAACTTACATTAAGTTTTAACTAGTATTACGTAGTACAATGGACTTTATTTTTATAGAATTGTATTAGTCGTATTGTACATTAATATCATTCAATTATAAAGTAGTATACGTTCTAAATACTCTCAACTATTTGACAATGAATGATCAATCATCCTATTACAACCGTTGGTGCTCGGACCCATAACTTCAGTAACAATAACAATTCCTTTAACTATTAAGATAAATTAGTTCGTAAGAAGATGGTTGTACAGTATTTTCTTTCTATATTTCAAGGTGGCATGATTCAAAGTTTGCTTTTTTTTTTTTTTTCTATATTTGTCGGACGGACCACTGTCCTCTTCTGCCAAGGTCAACAATGTTGTTTTCTCTCACTAAACCACTTGAGGTACATATAATTTTATAACATCAATATTTTGACCTCAATTTTCAACCGTGTCCGACAAAATTGAGCAGGTCACACTTGCTCAATAAATGCATCTTTCATTCATAATTCAGTTTAGAAC